ATAAGGTTCAGAACGTGGGGCAAAGGGGTTCAGGAAAGAAAGGTTTGAGAGGAGTCAGACTTCGGGCTATAGGTCCAAGGGTGCTGTAGTGAAGCGGCGCACTGATAGAGAAACCTGAGGGAGTCCAGAGTGGGGGGGAATCCGAAGAAACAGCGGATAAGTCAGAGGAGACTCAGATCGGGGGTGTTGGGTGTTCAGAATGGGGCATCTGACAGGGCTTGGGAGCAGGAGGTGTGTCCTTGGGAACCCTCAGTATTGTTAGAGCGGGGCTCATGATTACAAATCTGAAGTTGTTAGAAAGGGATCTCAAATTAAGATGTTTAAAGGGGTCCTGGAGGCTGTGGAGCTCTTGAGAAAGGTTGCCAGTGGGGGGGGGGTGGTCAAAGGATGTTCTCTGTGGAAAAGATATTCTTTCTTGAGAAAACAAATATGTGTAGTTTGATAGGCCCTTGGTGAATGGAGTTTGGGTGTCCTGGGTGCTCACTGTGTCTAGACAGAGGGTCTGGGTGCTTATTGGGTGCCTTTTGAGAGATTGAGGACTCAGGTTTTAGAAACCGAGTGAGTTTGGTTAGAAGGTTGAATTGAGGTCCTGACCCATGATAGAGCAGAAAACAAACTCAGCCTGATTGTAGGAGGTCTGGTGATTTCAGCATGTCCTCCCCTTCCCACAGGACTAGGTGCATGGAGTTGGTGTCGATGGAGGATCAGGACTCCAGGGTCCCAGCCCTGGAACCATTCAGGGTGGAGCAGGTTGTCAGGACTCGGGGTGCAGAGGGTGAAGGTGGGGACTAGAGGGTGGGAGATAGAGTGGGGATAGGCAGGCTGACTCCTGGGTTTGTGAGCTGGGACTGCTTCCTCCAAGTTCATTCTTTCCCTTACCTCACCCCTACTTCCTACTGCCAAAATGGACATTGGTCCCTCTACTTCAGGCCTTGGCCTGCCTGGGGACATCCCGAACCTCACTACAGAGGGAGGGGTCTGTTCTTGGATGCTAGGGCCCCTGGGGATGTCAAAGGGCACCACCTACAGGGGATCTCTTTATCCTAGGCACCACCTGTAATCTACTATGTCCCCGACTTCATCTCCAAGGAAGAGGAGGAATATTTGCTTCGACAGGTGACCCCAATTTCCTTCTGGTCTGTTTTCCCCTCTTTCCAGATTCTTCCCCAACCCCTAGTTCCTGTGTAAGAGCCCCTGAGGCTATAGTGAAGATCCTGGCAGGAAGGAGAGTGCCACACAGCACCCATCCCTCACCTTCTCTGTTCCTTCCTCAGGACCTATTGGGCCTGTCAGAAAGAGCTTTTCCCAGGAAGCTTGGGGGAAACCCAGCTGTTTCTTAGGAAGGAAGTATTATTATGTAGCTCAAATTCCTTGTGCTGAGATAGGTCAGTCCAGCTTCCAAAACAAAAATGTTACTGAGATCAGATTCCTTGTGCTGGAATAGCCCAGTAAAAGCCCAGAGCCTCAGAAATAAGGAAGTTACAGAGCGCATACTCTCTGTGCTGAGATAGCCCAATTCTGTAATCCTAGAGAAAAAGAGGTTATAAATATAGACTGAGAAAGCCTAGTTCAGGCCTTTGATGTTTGGGGAATGAAGAATTTGCAGTGTTCAGATTTTTGTGTTGAGATAGCGTAGGCCTCAGAATGTTATAGAGTAAACTCTTTCCTCTGCTTCAATAGCTCAGCATAGACCCAGATTCTTGAGAACAAGGTTTTCAAGCATAGACCACTCGTGCTATTTTCAAGGTTCATGGAAAGAAAAATTTACACAGCTCGGTTCTTGCACTGGGATAACCTTTTGCAGCCCTGGAGCCTTAATTATAAAGCACAGATCTTCCGTGGGCTATTCCAACAAGTCCTGTCTAGTTTGAGTCCCAGGAATAAGTTAGCCACAGAGCACAGACCCTTGTGCTGAGACAGTCTACTCCAGCCCCGTAACCAGAAGGGGAATAAGGAGATTATTGAGTAGAGTATAGATTTCTTGGACTTCTTGAAGATTGCCCATTCTCGACCTTTGGGATCTTGGCAGTAGAGAATTTTCAAAGTACTCTTTGCTGTGCTAAGTTAGCCCAATTTAGCACATTCCCTCCAGGCGGTAGGAATAAGGAGGTTCCAGAAGTCAGACTGTTCGGAGATAGCCCAGGACAGTACAGGCTGCAGACTCTTTACTGGACTAAAAGAGCCCAGTGCAGGCCAGAGTAGATTCAGACTGCAATTGTGTAGCCCGGGTTCCTTTTCTTGGTCCCAGTAGACAGAGGTGGTCTTTGGGGCCAGCAGCTTCCACAGGGGAAAGGGCAAACAACAATCTTGGGAACACTGTATCCCAGAGAATCCCATAGGTACTGAGATGACCCATTTTCACCTTGGGTAAAGACCTCTGTATTGTTTTGGGTGGGAGAATCAGAGAGGATGGTCTTGAAAAAGAAGTGACCCTCTCTCCACCTCCCAGGTCTTCAATGCCCCAAAACCAAAGTGGACACAGCTGTCAGGGAGGAAGTTACAGAACTGGGGTAAGTGTTCCTGCCTCAGGGCATGGATGATTTGAGAATGTGGGCTGGGGAAGGTGGCTCAGGTTGGTTATTATCAAGATATTGGGGGGTCACCAAATGGTTCAAGAGGTCCCAAGGGCCAGGAGAACTCTCAGGGGTCAGTAGAGGTCCTTCGGGATCAGGGATTTCCTTTCAAGTTGGGGGTCTCAAAGGGTCCAGGGGTGTTAGAGACATCAGGAAACCTTGGAAGGTTGGGTGGTGATCTCCAGAGAGTCAGGTGTCCCTGGGGAGGTCAGTGTGTTACCAAGCCCTGGGAAATCATTAACGAGGGCTTGAGGTGCCAGGGCTCCTTGGTTAGATGCTTTCAGGACCCCATTGCCCTCCTCCAGGTGGGCTCCCTCATCCCCGGGGGATGGTTCCTGAGCGACTTCCTCTATGGCTCCAGCGCTATGTGGACAAAGTATCTGACCTCAGTCTTTTTGGGGGTCTCCCAGCCAACCACGTCCTTGTGAACCAGTATCTGCCTGGGGAGGGCATCATGGTAACTACACATCCTCACCCCAACCCCCAGACCTCTCATGGGGCAGGATATCTTGTTGACCCACCTCTACTCTCATCAAGTAGGCACATACCCAAACCACCCCAACCAGGCATTCACCTCCCTGTCCCTGGCTGGGGAGCCCCCTTTAAGCTTCAGAGGGTGGGAGGTGTGGACTCCTGCCCTGTCCAGCCCTGGTGACCACTCCCCAGCCCCACGAGGACGGGCCGCTGTACTACCCAACTGTCAGCACCATCAGCCTGGGCTCCCACACCTTGCTGGACCTCTACGAGCCGCGGCAGCCAGAGGATGATGACCCTACAGAGCAGGTGGGCCCTGGGACACTGCTTCAGCCACTTATGGGCACCCTGACACCCCATATCCTCTAAGAGGCCCCAGTCTCACCTGCCTACAAGATAACCCCAATAACCTCCCAGATGTTCCCTGTTCCCTCATGGAGTGACCTCTTCCTAGATACCTAGACTGTCTGCTTGCAGGGTACCCTAGAAATATTGATATCCACACACATCCCAGTGCCCCCACTTGCTGATTGGAATGCTCTAACACCCTAGAGATCCTTTGGCCCCACACATTCAGGGTGCTCCAATAAATAGCCCACGGTCTACATACACCATGCAGGGCTCCCCAGTACTTTAGCAGTATACCCTCCGATGCCCCCAACACCGTTCCCTCATGGGTGTCCCTGACATCCTCTCAGATATCCTGACTTTGCATAGTGTACAGAGCACCCCAATACTGACCTCCCCCGTGACACTCCAGCAGTATGATTTGCCATAGAGGGCATACCCAGATCCTCCTTGGCACTGCCTTCTTTGAGGGCTGCTTATGACAGCAGCTTCCCTGATTGCTTTCCCCAAGTGATGCATTTCTAACACCCCAGTGCTCACAGAAACCCCCCTGGACACCCTAACTCCAGCTGCTCCTTAGGACTTCCCTTCTTAGTGCTACATGCTCCTGGATATCCAATACCCTGCCTACTGTGCCAGTTTCCTCAAACATCCTGATGTCCACAGATACACTCAGACTGCACCAGATCATCTCTGCCTCACTCTGTCGCCCCAAACCCAATTCCTGGCGTCTGTCAAGCCCTCAATCCAGTTCCACCCAGTTCCCTGTGACCACTGAACCCTTGGTTCCAGCCTCAGCCCCTTGGAGGTCCTAGCTGCAGCCCAGTTCCTGCCTGTCCCAAGGGAGTGCTGATCCCCCTTCCCCAGCCCCTCCTTGTTCCCTGAAGCGTTGGCTCTGGGGCCCGCTGATTTTTTACTCCAAAGCTTCGATCCCTGGGAGCATACTTGCCCCTCAGCCTTTGTCTCTGGGGACTGGCTGACACTCCCTCCCTGATTCCCAAAGTTTGCTAACTTCTTTTCGACCCTCTCATTTCTGGGGACCCACTGACCGTTAATACTCTCCGAAGCCCCGGCCCCCTCCCCGGCCAGCCACCTCGCTGCTGTTGGAACCCTGCAGTCTGCTGGTGCTCCGGGGCACTGCCTACACGCGCCTCCTCCATGGCATCGCAGCCGCCCGGGTAGACCAGCTCGACTCTGCCTTCTTGCCACTCAACGCCGCTGCCTGCCAGTCAGCACAGCCCGGAGCCTGCCTGGTCCGGGGCACCCGAATCTCACTGACCATCCGCCGTGTGCCCCGCGTGCTACGCGCCGGCCTCCTCCTCAGCAAGTGACACCTGGCCTCAGGACCCGCTAGGCTTCCCGGGCTGTCCACTCTGGATAGCTGCGACCCTGCAACGTTGAAACCCTGGGGCAGAGGAGGCCTCCCCTGAGTTATTTATTTTCCCAATAACGTTGTGGGAACCAAAGAAAAAGGTCTCATTTCAAATAAACCAACAAAAATTCTTTCTTTGGTTTTGGATTGAAGGGGTTGTGGGGCAGGTGCTTGTGTTCCTGAGGGACACTGAGTCTGGGACCTTAGATGGTGAGGGGCCTGGGGGTCAGAGGAGCCAGGCAGAATCCAGGACTCTTGAAGGGGCAGGGTTATATCTAGAACCCCATTAGGTGTGGTGGGGTGAGCTTGGGAAGTTCAGTTACTGGTCTGCTAGAGAGTTAAGTGGTGCTACTGTCACCTGATCCAGCATCAAATTACCTGGGTCCAGGTTTCACTTGGAAGGAAGTGAAACTGAGCCTTCCCTTGGGCCTCCATCTGCCTCAAGCCTCTGGGTGAGCATTACTCTAGATGTCTGGGAGGACACTACTGGCTAGAAAAAGGCCTTTTACTAGTGATCCTCAAAGACTCTCTGTCCCCAGGCCCTCAGCTATGGCCCTGACCCCATCTCTGGGCCTTAGACCCCACCCAGAGCCCCTCAACCATCCCCCTGGAGCACCTAGGGACATTGCTGGATCCACCATCTGCCCCACTTCTGAAAAGGAAACAATCAGGTAGGGACTGGGGCTTTTGAAATTTGGGTCCTAAAGGGGTGGCGGCAGTAGCAGGGGCACTTTGAGAGTTAGAGGTACTATAGCTATGATCACCTGGGGATGGGGGAGGGGGAACTGGGATCAGGGATAGGCTAGGGTGGATAATGGGCACCTAGGGTCACCCAAGGTGACACCCACTCTTGAGGCCCTGCCCACCCAAGGGTCTGCCAATGCCTTCAACCTCCCAGGCCAGATCAAGCCCAGAAACCAGGGCAGGACTCTTTGGACCTTCCGGAGTACTTCCAGGGTGGCCTGAGGGACACTGAGCCTAGTGCTGGCCACCTCAGATTGCCAAAACCCTCTTCCTACAAAGACCCTCCTGGAGGCAAACACTGTGAGGTGAGCTGAGGTGATCCAGGTCTTTTGTGCCCCCAATTCCTTTCTTTCCCCTAGAATCTGGCCTCCACACTGGGGATGAAGTAATGATTCTGGAAAAGTGTTGGGTACCTGTGGAGAGGGGGTACACTCTAGAAAATTATTCTTTACCAATCACCATAGAAGTGTTTCAAACTGAGAGACAATTATTTCATGATTGGCCCTGGCGGAGCCTCATTCCTTGTGGGGGTATCCAACTCCATCATCCCCTTCCTGTTGAGACCTCCCCCCCGCCCAGACCCTGCATGTTCAAGTTTCTAGGAGCCTTGGAAACCTGGAGACTTTGAACTACAGGTCCTCAGGCTTTGCTCCACTGGGAAGGACTACAGGTGGGAACAGCCTTGGTAGAGACCCAGAGGTGGACTCTGCTGCAGAGAAGCATCTGGAAGGCAGGAGTCTGCAAAAGAGTGGTGGCTATGAGAATGGGGCAAGGTCTTGGTTGGCCCACCAACACTGACTCAGCTCCCTGTTCCCCAGAGCCCCATCTCTGGCTGGGAGGTATTGGAAGCGGAGCAGGACAGCCTGCATCTTTGCCTACTGGGTCTGGGCCTCCAGCTACAAGATCTAGAGCAAGGCTTGGGGCCCTGGACATTGGCCCAGAGTGAGATGGTCCAGCTACAGGTGGGCAATGGGAGGCCAAGGTGTGGGAAGGTGGGCAGGGCCTCAAGAGTGGGTGTCAAATCCCTGGGATGGAAAATGGGTTTATTCTGTTCTAGGTGTCTGCATAGGAAAGGGGGACAAGTAACTCCAGGTCCCAGTCCTCTGGTTCCCCTGGTGTGCATGGGGGGTTCGGGTAGTGGTATCCAACTATGTATTCCCAGACCCTACAGGCAGACTTACATGGGGCAGCTGAGTGTGTGGATGCACTGCTGGTGTTCAGTGAGGGACTAGCACAGCGGAGTGAGCCTCAAGCCCTGGCATCCCTGCAGCGAGTCCTGCGGGCCCTTGGAGCCCACCGAGACAGCATCTTCTGGCAGCTGTGGCAGCTGCAGGCCCAGCTGGTCAGCTACAGCCTGGTATGACCCACTGTGGTGGTCCCCAGCCCTGGTGCCAATTTCACAACCTCCATGACTTCTGTCCTCTGACCAGGTATACCAGGAGGCTATCACACTGGACCAGGATTTGGAGGTCGAGGTGGACTCAGACTGTCCAGGACCTGGTGGAGTCTGGGGGCCCTGGGCACCCAGTAGCCTCCCCTCTCCCGCAGAGTTAGAGTGGGACCCAGCAGGGGACATTGGGGGCTTTGGACCCTTGAGGCAAAAGACAGCCTGGACACCAGGGGCTTCCTGTGAGCTGTGTGGCCACAGGGGCCCCCAGAGCTGGGGACAAGGCCCTGAGGTGAGAGCAGGTGGGAGACATCCCCATCCAGGCACCCACAAGACACCTCTGTTCACCTCCTAGCAGGGCCCTTCCCTTCCATGGAGGTCTTGCTGGCTCTGTTTCTTCCTCTGTCTCTCTCAGTGTCTCTTCCTCTCTTGGTGTCTCAGTGTTTTCCTCCCTCCCTCCTTCTGTCTCTCTTGGCTTCTGTAACTTCCTCTATCTCTTTCTGTTTTCCTCTCTCATTTGTCTATATATAGACTTCCTCATTTCCTCTCATTCTCCTCCTTGCTCAATCCACTACAGCCATACTAGCCTCCAAATTCACTCCCATCTTAAAGCCCCCAGATGCATACCCAGCTTGCCTCCTTGCTTCATTACACTCTCCTCAAATGTCACCTCTTCAGAGAGGCCTGCTCTGGTTTCCAAACATTATCACTATTTATCCTCTTTATTCCCTAATGACACTTAACCACATCTTGACATTCTACATTTATTATTGGGTTGGCCATAAAATTTGTTCAGTTTTTTCAGTAAAATAACACATTTTTCATTTTCACCAATAACTTTATTGATTTGGATATTTTGAATATATCAGCTATCTCCCCACTTGGTATAACATTGATTGTTCTCAATTGATCACTATCGAGACATTAGTGAATGATCACTATCAACTTCAACTGGTCTCCCTGACCGTGGAGCATCATCCAGTGAGAAATCTCCAGCACGAAACTTCACAAACCACTTTTAACATGTTTGATTAGTCACAGCACCTTCTCCATACCCTGCACAAATCTTTTTTTTTTTTTTTGCATTTCAGTGGCATTTTTACCTTTCTTGAAATAATAAAGCATAACATGCCAAAAATGTATATTTTCTCCCATCTTCAGTATTAAAATGTCTATGTAAAAATTCATCAATTTTGATAAAATTTTTTAATGCACGCTGATATGACAAAATATAATTTAACATAATTGTTTCAAATGAAATTAAAGACAACTAAGCGCTACTGGAGCCATCTTATGGAAAAAAGCAAACGAATTTTTTGGCCAACCTAATAATTCATGGTCTTTCTCCTGGTAGAATAAAAGTTCCATGGATGCCAGGACTTTACCTGTTTGCATTGTCACTGTGTCCTCAGCTCTTGGAACACTGCCTGACATGTAACAGAAACTCATTAAATATTTGTTGAATGAATGAATAATGTTTCTCCTCTCAGTTTCTTTGGCTCTACCCCTCTCTTTTTTTCTCTTCCCAAGGTCCTTCTCTTCCCCCAGCATCTTGCCCTTTCCCAACCTTGTGTCTCTTTGTCACTGGTTCTCCCAAGGCCTCCACACCTCTCTCCATAGGATGTGCTCATGTTGGGTATCAGCCACCAGAAACACTTAGGAAGTCACCAAAGATGCTCCTTGCTCCAGAAGTCTCAGGTGAGCTGGTTTTCAGTCAGGTATATTACTTGGAAATCTTGACAGCAAGTGACAGAAACCCAACCCAAATTGAATTACACAAAAGAGGGGATGCTCTTTTTTCATGTAACTGAAAAGTTCATTTGCTGTTGAATTCAGGACCTTAAATGCTATCAGGGCGCAGTCCCTCCCTCTCTTGACTCTACTTCTCCAAGGTGCATTTCTCTTCAGCAAAATGGCTGCCCCAGCAGCTACACACTTTCTACTGGTTTACCCACCCCAAGAGAAGGAGAGTGCCACTCACCTACTAGCAGCCAAATTCAGGGGCTGATTCCATTCTGTGTGGTGGGTCTTGGCCTACACTCTGAAGCAATCACAGCAGCCAAGCTGATGGAAGGCTCTGATTGGCAATATATGGGTCACAAGCCCAATCATAGAAATGGAGGTGTCCGGTTAGTAGAGTAGGTAGGTGTGACATCCCACACACGTCAAATTGAGCCCTTGTTACCAGGAAAGGGGGAGTTGGCTGGAGGACAGGCACAGATAGACATCCACTACACTTAGAGATAGTGCAGGCCAATGAGGGGTCCTGGGGATTGATGGAGTACCAGGAAAGGAGGAGAAATAAGCCCAGCCCTGTAGGTCTATAGCAGTAAGCGAAAGTCCACACTGAAAGTCATTTCCATCCATTCTGCTATTGGCTGCTATCTACCCTTAGAACACGAAGAAGCAAGTATCTTCCAATCTCCAGGATGTGATGATGCTGGAGGTAGATTCTGGGTAAGATGCCTGGGATATGGGTTTAGGGGTATGGGGGACAAGGCTTATGATGATGGCCTAATGTATATTTAACACATGTATTTCCCTTTACAGAGCCCCTGCTCCTATGTCCAGGAGGCCCCTGACCTACCTCCTCCTTTTTCTCCTCTTCCTTCTCCTGGTGGGTGCCACACTGCTCCTGTCCCAGTTGGAGGGTCTCTGCTGCTCTCCTGCCCAACTTGCCAGGACACCTTACTTGGTGCTCAGCTATGTCAATGGACCCCCCCCAATCTGAGTACACAGCCCAGACATATGTAATAAATGGTCATTTGTCAGAGGGTATGTCTTTGTCCATCTGGGGTGCTGTAACAAAACAACATAGACTATGTGGCTTATAAACAATAGAAATTCATTTCTTACAGTTCTGCAGGCTGAGAAGTCCAAGATTAAGGTGCCAACAGATTTGGTATCTGGTTAGGGCCTGCTTCCTGGTTCATAGATGGCTGTCTTCTTGCTGTGTTCTTACATAGCAGAAGGAGCAGGGAACTCTTTGGAGTCTCACAAGAGATTAAGGGCACTGATCATTTCCATGTGGGCTACACCCTCAGACTTAATCACCTCCCAGAGGCCCTACTTCCTATATCATCACATAGGGGATTAGTATTTCAATGTCTGAATTTTGAGGGGACATGAACATTAGTCTATAGCAAAAGGTGTGAGGATATTGGGTGCCTGAGTACTCAGAATCTAGGATATGACCCTGGTATATCTGGATAGCCTCCTCCACATATCCCTTTGCATTGAACACAGAATGCAGAAGTGAATCAACAACCCATTAAACCCTGAGACAAAGATTCAAGCACAAGTAGTTTATTTAGGAGGTGATCCTAGGCATATTGGTAGGGGAGTAGGGAGGTGAGCCAGGGAAGGGCATTGAACTGTTTGCTGCTTTGGGCACCTGAGGTGCCATCCCACCAGGAACCTCTGGGAGACTGTGTGGAACACACTCAAAAGTTATTCTACTCAACTTTCATTGGTTCCTGAAACTGTCAATTCCCTAGAACTCCCAGCTTCTCTTGTCTGTAAAGTCCCCTCAGGCAGAGAAGCATAGATGCTTGCCACAGGAAGCTACAGGTATGCACAGAAAGGGTGTGGTGACAAAAGCGAGCTGCCGACAGCACCTGCTATAGCCCCTGACCTGCATGCATACACATGATCTGTTTAAACATTCTACACAGTGTCCTCCCAGGCTGAGCTGTCATTGGCGCAGGACTATGAAACCCCTTTACTGGGTTTTGATGACACTAAGAGGAATTTCCAGGGCTCAGCCCTAGATTTCAGTACCCAGCTTCAGGTACTTCAGGAAGTATAAGATCATATACTTCCTGGAGCCTCAAGTGTTGGGACAAGAGATGGAACACAATTAGACTAAAAAACAGAGGCAGGAGGCTTACACCATGCTCCTGGGTACGCACTTAAGATAGATCCCCTCTCCTTTAATTCTCACAGCCATCCAATGATATGTCCTCACTTAACAGAATGGGCAACAGGATCTAGAGTGGAAGTCACTGGCCTGAGGACACAATACACAAGGAGCAAGTGACCGAAGCCCAATTCCCATTGATTTGAACAGAAATGGGAATTCATTTTCCTGTGGAAGGGTAGGGACACAGCTGGACCCAGTAGCTCAAATGATAGCTTCACCTCTCAGTTCCTACCTCTGATTTGACTTCCTTCTTATCTGGTGGTGGCCAGAGCATCCCTCAAAACCTTCAAGCATACATCCCACCAATTTGACAAACAATAGGAGAGTCATGCTTCCCTTATAATTTCAAAGTGTCACATGATTTCCTGGGGACTGTAGTCAGCTCTGCCTGAAACATGTGTACTGAAATCGAGGAAGGAGTGGGTCTCTGAAGAAAATTAGGAAGCTGTTACCTTAAGGGGGGATGGACACTGAGGAAGGAGAGTAGGGAAGCAGCAGTTTCTGGGAGACTCCAGGTTCAGGGAGAAGTCAGTATGCAAACCTGGGTCTTTTCTGTTTCAAATGCCAGGCCAAGTCTCTGTTCCCAACAAAAGAGGAGGTGTAGTATCCCTGGAGTCACCACAAATAGGGTGGACAGAGTTTTGGCAATATTGACCCTACCAGTTAGGTAATGGAGCAAATGTGTCATTCATTCATTGAATATTGACTGCGGTAAGCCAGGTCCTGTCAAAGAATAGGGCAATGAGAGTGAATGAGACAGATTACAATTCTTGTCCTTGCCAGGGTGGAGGAGCTGACACCCTAGTGAGGAAGATGGATAATAAATAAAAGCAATAGGTGACATATGTAATAGATCAAATGGTGATAAATGTAAGAAGAAAAACTAAATTGGGCAAAGGGAAAGGGGGTAAAATTTAGGCTGGTTGAGGGAGGCATCAGAAAGACAGTTACGTCTTTATGTTACAATTATGTCATAGAAAATTGTGGTGAGGAAACAAGTCACATGGACTCCTAGAGTAGTGCTGTCCAATAGAAATATAATGTGAGGCTCAAATATAATTTTTAAATTTCTAGTAATCACAAGTAGCTTCCATCTGCAGATAACTTTGTGTGACTCCAGACAGAATACAAGTGGTAGCTGACTTTGGGTGTGCTAATAGCAATCAAGGCCCAACTACAACAGAAGAGTGAGTGTACACTGCCCACACAGTGGGCACACCTTGAGTATCCAGCCTGGGTAATGGGAGGCTGTGCCACTGGGCTCTATAGGACACCTACTAAATTAGGCAACTTACCAAGCCTGGGAGATGTAGCAGCTCTACCTAATACATAAAAACAAACATAAGGAGGCTGCCAAAATGAGGCGACAAATAAACATGGACCAAATGAAAGAACAAAACTCCAGAAAAAGAACAAAATGGAAACAAGCAAACTACTAGATGCAGAGTTTAAAACACTAGTTATAAGGATGTTCAGTGAACTTGGTGAAAATTTCAACAGCATTAAAAGGGGCATGGAAACCATAAAAAAGAACCAGTCAGAAATGAAGGATACACTAATTAAAATAAAGAATAGGACTTCTGCCAAGATGGAGGCATAGGTGGAGACGCCTTGCTTTGTCACACAACCAAGTTTAGAGTCAATTAAATATTAGCAACAGAAAACACAGCCAGAACACAGAAAATTGAACTTTTCGGAAGTCTGTTAACAACAAATTCTTCAGCCTGACCAGCAAGAGGGGCGAAACCAGCAGCTGGTGGAGCGGGGTTGCACAGGAAAACTCGGTAAGATGAACTCAGGCACACGGAACCCAGGCGCAGGGTTGCAACGGGTGGACCTAGTGAGCAACCCAGCAAGTGACCGCGGGGAACCAGCAAGGGAGCAGGGCCGAGATTTGACTGTGGTTGAGCATTCATGTGCAGATAGACCAGCGAGGGAGTGGGCGGTTAGACAGGACCCAGCAGGCCCCAGAGGCCAGCGGCAGCAGAGGGCGCCCCATTTCCCCGCTCTGACCACGCCCCCACATACAGCGTCACAACCCAGCGACCTGGGAGTCCAAGACTCCGCTCCTCATACTTAATTGGCGCAAACAGACCAAAAATGGCTCAAGAAGATCTCAAAGCCCCAGAGCCTATAAATCTAAGTGATGAAGAAATAGCAAAACTCTCAGATGCACAGTTCAAAAAACTGGTGATCAGGATGCTCACAGATCTGCTTGATTATAGCCACAAATTAGACAAACATATGAAGGCGAAACTAATTGAAATGAATGGAATTGTACAGGAAACCAATAGCAATGAAAAGGAAACTGGGACTCAAATCAATGGAGTGGACCAGAAGAAAGCAAATAATGGCCAAACAGAAAAGAGTCAAGAAGCAAGAATTCAAAGAAATGAGGAGAGTCTTAGGAACCTCCAGGACATCTTTAAATGCTCCAACATCCGAATTATAGGGGTACCAGAAGGGGGAAAGGAACAGCCACTAGTGGAAAACTTATTTGAACAAATAATAAAGGAGCATTTCCCCAATCTGGCAAAGGAAATAGACTTCCAGGAAATCCAGGAAGCTCAGAGAGTCCCAAAGAAGTTGGACCCAAGAAGGAACACACCAAGGCACATCATAATTATATTAGCCAAGATTAAAATGAAGGAGAGAATCCTAGAAGCAGCAAGAGCTAAGGGGACAGTCACCTACAAAGGACTTCCCATCAGACTGTCAGCTGATTTCTCAAAAGAGACCTTACAGGCAAGAAGGGGCTAGAAAGAGGTATTCCAAGTCATGAAATCCAAAGACCTACAACCAAGATTGCTCCATCCAGCAAAACTTTCATTTAGAATGGAAGGACAGGTAAAGTGCTTCTCAGATAAGGCCAAATTCAAGGAGTTCATCATCACCAAGCCCTTATTATATGAAATGTTAAAGGAACTTATCTAAGAAAAAGAAGATAAAAAAGATGAACAGTGAAAGGACAGCAGACTCACAATTATCAACAACCACACCTAAAACAAAAGCAAACTAAAAGGGCAGCTAGATCAGGAGTGGAAACATAGAAATGAAGATCTTAAGGAGGGTTAGCCAACAGGGGAGTGGGAGGAGGAGAAGGTACAGAAAATAAGTAGCATAGATGATAGATAGAAAATAGATGGGGGGGGCAAGAATAGTATGCGAAATATAGAATCTAAAGAACTTGAGACACATGGTCATAAACTAAAGGGGGGTAATGGTGGGGATGGGGGGTAGGGTGGAGAGGAATGAAGGGGGGAATAGAACAACTTTAATGGCATAATCAATAAAAAATAAAATTAAATTAAATTAAAAAAAGAGCAATATACAGGGAATCAACAGTAGACTGGATGAAGCCAAGAATCAGATCAGTTATTTGGAATATAAGAAAGAAAAGAAATATCCAATCAGATCAGCAAGGAGAAAAAAGAATTAAAAAAATGAGGATATTGTAAGGAGCCTCCAGGACTTCAAGCCTACCAACATTCACATAATAGTTGTGCCAGAAGGAAAAGAGAGAGAGCAAGAAATTGGAAACATGACCAAAAAAAGTCTTTAATTTGAAGGAAATAGACATACAAGTCCAGGAAGCACAGAGTCCCAAACAAGATGAACCCAAAGAGCCCCACACCAAGACACAACATAATTAAAATGCCAAAAGTTAAAGACAAAGAATGTCCTCCTCCCCTGCTCCTCCCCCACTCCTCCTTCTTTTTTAACAAAGAGAGCATCTTAAAAGCAGCAAGAGAAAGATAGTTACCTAGAAGAGAGCTCCTGTAAGACTGTAAGCTGGTTTCTCAAAACAAACTTTGCAGGCTAGAAGAAATTGGCAAGAAATATCCAAAGTGATGAAAAGCAAGGAGGTTCAACCAAGATTATTCTACCCAGCAAAGCTATCATTAAAACTGAAGGACAGATAGCTTCCCAGATAAGAAAAACCTAGAAGTGTACATCAGCACCAAACCAGAATAATATGAAATTATGATAAAAAATATAAACAATCAAATGGCCAAAAATACATATCTATCAACAATTCAATCTCAAAAACAAAGTAAACAAGCAGAACAGAAACAGTCATGGATACAGAGAACTTTTTTTTAAAAATAATTTTATTTATTTATCTTTAGAGGGGAAGGGAAGGAGAGAGGGAGAGAAACATCAATTCGTCCCCTGCCTTTCATTCGTCCCCTGCTGGGAACTGGCCTGCAGGGAACCGGCCTGCAGGGAACCGGCCTGCAGGGAACCGGCCTGCAACCCAGGTATGTGCCCTGACTGGGAATTGAACTGCGATTGTCTGGTTCGCAGGCCCGTGCTCAATCCACTGAGCTACACCAGCCAGGGCCAGAGAACATTTTGATGGTTGTCAGATGGGAGGGGGAGTCAGGAAGATGGGTGAAAAAGAAGGGATTAAGAAGCACAAGTTGGCCCTGGCTGGTGTGGCTCAGCGGATTGAGCGCGGGCCTGCAAACCACACGATCGCGGTTCGATTCCCAGTCAGGGCACATGCCTGGGTTGCAGGCCAATTCCCAGCAGGAGACACATGAGAAGCAACCATACATTGATATTTCTCTCCTTCTCTCCTTCCCTTCCCCTCTAAGGAAAAATAAATAAAATATTAAAAAAAATAAAAACAAAAGAAACACAAATTGGTACTTACAGAATAGTCGCAGGGATATAAAATATAGCATAGGAAATACAGAAGCCAAAGAACATATGGAAAATGGTATGGGGATTCCCTGAGGGAATGTGGGGGATGGAGGCTGGGTGGAGGGGGGCAAAGAGTTAAAAATGGGGACACATGTGGTAGTATAATCAATAAAATATAATTAAAAAACAAATACAACTTAAAATTTTCTAGTTGTCACAGTTAAACAGTACAAGAAGGTGATATTAACTTTATTATTTTATAAAGATTTTATTTACTTAATTTTAGAGAGCGGGGGAAGGAGAAAATGAGGGAGTGAAACATCTATTCCAGAGAAACATCAATAGTTTGCCTCTAGTACCCACCTCAGCCAGGGACCAAACCCACAACCCAGGCATGTACCCTGACTGGGAACCCAATGCTTTGCAGGATGATGCCCAGCCAACTGAGCCGTACCAGTAATGGCGAGGGTGACTTCTTGGTGAGTAGGGGTGTCTTCAAAAATCCCCAAATGCAAAAAATGTTTAAGACCTCCAACAGGAAAGTAAGCACATCCTAACTTTATTCCCTTTATTCAACAGTCCTGAGGGTGGAAGGGTGGAGGAATCAGGGCTCCCCCTTAGAACCAGTAGGTATTAGAGGTTTTGAGGGGTCTTTAAATGATTGCCAGGATGAGACCCCTTAGTACTTTCCTCATCAGTCCTAGTTTGTTCCAATTAATAGAAGGAAATAGAAGGAAAGTTTTCCAAATGGAGATTCGGGGCTTCTCACCGCCCATCAGAGCATCTTCTCAAATTCCTCAGCAAAAAAAGTCTACTGTTATCAAAGTTAAACGCAAAGAGAGTTCAGGAGCCAGGGGTCAAGAGAAGGGTGTTTCAGTCTCTTTCATTCCATCGGAGGTGGAAGCGTCCTGGTTCCCCATGCCTTTGAGTAAATAGCTCTCAGCTTGACCTAGTCCAGACAGCTAGCGACACAGGCCACCTCAAGCTCCCATTAGGGAGTCCGACAAATTACCAGGAATCGAACAAGGTCAAGCATCTCTCTCCCTCTATCACGGTGGTCTTTGGACTCTCCGATTCCCCCAATCCATCGAACTAGTCTCGTCTCTTAAGACCTCTCATCTTCCATCCTGCGGGTTCCCCGGTTCCCCCGCGCCACTGGTTGAACTCTTCGGCCTGTCACTATTTTTTCGGCGGGGTCTCTGATGACCTCATGGTGTCAATCCGGCTCCTGGAATTGTCACCAGCCTCAGGGAAGTTTCCAGGGCCCGCCCTGCCGCTGGGCTCCTCGGTCTCTTTCCGTGGGCGCACGAAGGTGCCCAGGGCCGTGGCGTGGCCAGAACGAAGCAACTGGAGCTGGCGCCTTCCGCGGCGGTAGAGGTATTCAATGCGCAGTACATCAGAGCGTGGCAGGGAGGCTTGCTGCCGGAACTCCGCTCGCACATGCGCCTCAGCTCCTGGCTTCCCGCGCCCTGCGCGCAGCAGCTCGCGGTACAGGCTAAGAACCTGCCTTTGCAGCCGGCTGGGCCGGCTCATCGTAGAGCTGGGCCGCCGGTGCGTGCGGGTAACAGCCCAGGACAATGGGGCGGCGGCAGCACAATTATGACAGACAAAGACGCAAGAAAACAGTCACTTCCGCTCCTATCTCCAAAACCTCCCCCTTGAGCCTCCTGGTATCCGGCGCTGTCACTCCCTATTGGTTGTCTTTGTGGTTACATCACAGTGTTGCGAGTAAGGGGCGGAGCTGCTGGCTCCCCCAACCCCCGCACAGGGAATCAGTGTCCTTGAGAAGACAGCAGATCTAGGAACTAGGAAGAGGTGGAGGGATTAGGGGACTGGCGGTTCTCATCTAACTCCTGCGTCCTAAGGAGAGGAGGGAGCTAGAGGTTGGGACACTGATCTGTCGTCCCTTCTGGGCGCGGGGGGCACTGGTAGAGAGAAGACGGGCACTAGTTGTTTTTTGTTTGTTTTTTGCTTATTAAAGCAATATCGGGAAGCTTCGTGTGTCCCCACCCTTAAGGCGGATGTATGTCGGCGTTCCCAGCCCTGAGAATATGCGGAGAAACGTGGTCATACGGTGAAGTGTTGGGGCACAGTGGACAGGACAGGCTTCTCCGTACTTCGGGAAGACAAGCAGAGAGAGGGTGTAGGTTCTAAATTCCCAAAGGTAGTCTGTGGCGCACCGAGTTGGAATGGCCCCGCCCCCTTCTGAGCAAGGCGGAGTCGGGGTCGGGTGGGTTCTGGGCTGGAGGAGGGTCCTCACTAGCTGTTAAAGCCCTGGCATGTCTGGAGCACGTCGACTAGTTTGGCACCCCGAAGTCCTGGGAATATCAGGTACTGGTTGCAATTCCGTTGTTGTCCTCACAGGCTGCCAGGAGGCGTCCTCCTACTGTGGGGGAGGCCCTCAGGGCCAAGGGCCCCTTGGGCTTTACCTGGAGCGTGGGAACCCCTCCATGGTAGCCCCCTGCCCTCTGTGCGGCGTGCAACCACAACCCTGCATACCTGGACCGTTCATCTGTGGAGTGAGGAGGCAAGTTAGGGGCGGGTAGTGGGGCTAGAGCCCCAGAGTCAAGGGGATGCTCGGAAACCACTGTGAATCCTGCCAGTGTCTCTATCAGAAATATGTCTCTAAGCCTTTGCTAGAGGTCTGGAATTTGCTTTAAAATCCTCCAGCATGACTAAAACAAAAAGAGTGGGAGGAACAGATGAAAATAATGGCAAAATATTTGTAACCATAACACGGTTTCATAACACTATTCTCTCTTTTGTGATGCTTGAAAATTTCCATAGTAAACACTTTCCTAAAAGAGAGGTTTAAAGAAAAAGCCTCTGGATAATATATGACACAGTATATTAATATAACATGCAATAAAATACGATGCAATTGATATTTTAATATAGTGTCACCCAAAATTTTTATGTAATATATTTATTTAAAATAATGAATATTTAAAATGATTTAAGCATTTATTTTAAATGATTAAATCCTCACCAACACTCTGACAAGATAGAGCAGCAGTACTATATACTATACTAATTATGCATCTTGCCTCCTACTGATAAAGAAACTGAGGCCCAGAAACATAACATAGTTTGCGGAGGTCCACATGGCTGGTAAGTGGCAGAGCCAGGTTTTTGACCCCAGGGGTTCTGACTTCATGACCTGTGTTCTTTTTCTTTTAAAAAATCTTTTCTTAGGGAGAGGGAGAAATCAATGTTTTAGAGACATCGATTTGTTGTCCCACTTATTTATGCATTCATTGGTTGATTCCTGTATGTGCCCAGACTGGGGATCGAACCCACAACCCTAGAGCATCAGGATGATGCTCCAACCAACCAAGGACATGACCTGTATTCTTAACCACTGTGTATACTGCCTCCACAATAATAATATTAAAGTTGCAGCAAGAGCGTAGACTTACTGAACACTTATATGCCAAGCATGTATTCTCAAAGGTACCCTATATGGTGGGTACTATTAATACTACTTTTTGCAAATGAGCAAACTGAGGCACAGAGAGTGGTTGAGTCCCTTGAGCAAGGTCACATGACATTTAAAAGACACAGTTAGGGGTCTCTTGATCCTTTTACCAAAGGCTCTGGTGTAGTTTACCTGCCAGGTTGTGGCAGATATCCTAGCTGTTCTCTCGGTGTCCCATCTTCCCACTCCTACAATTAGCCTCGAATCCCTGGTTGGATTCTGTTTCTCTGTGTGGGACTTCAGGTTTTTCTCTTATAAATACTATCCAGTTTGTCTGCTCAGGTTTCAGTTTTTCTGCTGCTCTCTGGCTTCCATGTTCTCTGAAGAGCCACGTATGCTCCACCCTGGCATCTCTCCGCTGATTTCCAACTTCTCCTTATTTGGTTTCTCCCCATAGCACTTAAACATCCCTGAATTTCTATCATTTGAAAATCTTTATCAAAATAAATCAGTCCTAAGACTCTCACCTCTTCCTGGCTGATTTCTATTCTTCCCTTTCTGCATAGACGAGATGTCAATGTGGTGTCTATGCCTGTTGTCTCCTCTTAAACCTCACTCCCCAACCCTGCACCTGGCAATCCAGGTACTGCCCCCCTGTTCCCTGGATTTTGTGATTTCTTTCTTTTTTATTTTTTACAGTTTTAAAAAATATTTATTCATTCCAAGAGAGAAGGGAGGGAGAGAAACATCAATGTGTGGTTGCCTCTCACCAGGGACCCGGCCCACAACCCAGACATGTACCCTAGACTGGGAATCGAACCAGTGACCCTTTGATTTGCAGGTTGGCCCTCAATCCATTGAGCCACACAAACAAGGACAATTTTGCGATTTCTTAAGTCACCAACAGCCTCCTTGGCCCTAAGTCAATGGACATTTAGTGGGCTATTTTATATACTCATTGGTTGATTTTCACCACAGTCTCCAAATATAGTCCCTCCCTTTACCTAACTTTGTTCTGCAATTTTCTAGCCTAACAATGTCTTCCCCAGCCTAACATGAGGTCCAGCTCATTTGTCACCTCTTTCAGAAAGCTTTCACTGATCCCCTAAACTGGGGTCACCTCCTCTGGGCTTCCACAACCTACCTGTGCTTCCCCCATTCCAGCCCTGATCACTCTGACCTGTGCTTTCCCAATTACAGTTTTGATTACTCAGTCAGTGGTAGCTCCTAGGAGCTTAGCTGGTCTTGCAATAAGGTGAGGTCAGTGGGTACTGAGAAGTCCAAGGTGAAGTTTATGTGGGGTCTAGAGGATCTTGGGAGAACAGGTCAAGGACACAGAGCCAATGGAGACCAAGGTGAGATCAGAGGATCGTGGGAGAACAATTCTATGTCAAAAGACTACAGAAGGCTAGTGAGTGGTTACTAGGCCTCAGTGATCTGTGTCAGATTACACAGGGTTTTGGCAGGAATTGAGAAAGTCCCTCACTCCTATTTCCTAATTGGCTCCCACAGCTGCACAGCCATCCCTGAAGCCAAGGATCACTCATGGTTGGAGGGAAGCCCAGCCAAAACAGAGCCAGCAATCAGCAATGGCATGGAACCAGTAAAGATCCTGGGGCCTGAAACCTGCCAATGTGGCTAACTATAAGCACAGGGCATAACAGGCATGGGTGCAAACTCACTGAAGCTATCAAAGGTGGTGAAGAGGCCCACAAACACTAGGCAACATGTGGCACCCTCCCCAGCCTCACCAAATGATTATTATATAAAATGTTAAGGGACTTATTTAAGAAAAAGATCAAAACTATGGACAATAAAATGGCAAAAAAAATACATATCAACAATTGAATCTATGGAACAAACAGCAAACAAGAACAGAGAGAATCATGGATACATAGAGCATTTTGATGGTTGTCAGATGGAAGGGATTGTGGGAGAATGGGTAAAGAGATGAGGGGATTAAGATGTACAAGTAGGTAGTCATAGAATAGCCACGGGGATATAAAGTATAGAAAATGGAGGAGCCGAAGAACTTATATGCATGACCCATGGACATGAACAATGGTATGGGGATTGCCTGAAGGAATGGAGGTTGCTGGATGAAGGGGAAAATCAATCCAACTGTACTAACATAATAAAATATAATTTTTAAAAAGTTTGTTAGTTTTTTATATAAAGCACATATTTTTTATCAATAACTTTATTGACATGGATATTTTGAGTATGTCAGCCATCTCCTGCATGGTAGAATATTGATTGTTCTCAATTTCAATTTGATCACTATCTACTTCAACTGGTCTACCCAAACAAGGAGCATCATCCAGCAAGAAATCTCCAGCACCACTTACAGCCAAGATGGAGGCATAAGTAGACATACTCTGCCTCCTCGCACAACCAAAAGAAGGAAAACAACAATTTAAAAACAAAAAACAACCAGAACTGACAGAAAAAATTGAACTGTATGGAAATCTGACAACCAAGGAGTTAAGACACATTCATCCAGACCAGTAGGAAGGGCAGAGTTGGGCAGTCAGGGCAGAGAGGGCTCACAGCAAAGTGGTGGCTGGCAGACCCAGTGAGGCGGCGGATTGTGGAAGGGGGTGCAGTGCACAAGGCGGCTGGTGGACTGGGAGGTCCCACATTTGATAAACCATGCGAAACTGGGTAGTGGGACAGACTGCACAACCCAGGATCCCAGCATGGGGAAATAAAGCCTAGAATCACTGATGTGGGGATTGAGGTGCTGGGAGAAACTCCTAGCCTCACAGGAGAGTTTTTTTGGAGAGACCCACAGGGTCTTAGAATGTAAAGCCAACCCACATGGAAATCAGCGCCAGAAGGGCCCAATTTGCTTGTGGGAAGCAGTGGAAGTGACTGAAATCCAGCAGAGAGAAGAGCAAGCGCCACTGTTCCCTCTAGGACTCCTTCCCCACATACAGCACCGCAGCACAGCTATGAGGGTTACCCTGCCCTGGTGAATATCTAAAACACCACCCCTTACTATGTAACAGGCTAGTCAAGACAAAAAAAAATGGCCCAAAGGAAAGAACAGATCAAAGCTCCAGAAAAAATACAACTAAAGTGACGAAGAGGTAACCAACCTGTTGTAGACCGCTCTGCCTAGTTTTAGGAATTGTATGTCAATCCCTTGTGGCTCAGGGTGAGAGGGACAACCTCTGGAATGCCAGCCGTAGGAGACAAAGCCTGTCTC